GCTTAAATATTTGTAGTCAGGGCCACTCGTTCAGGAGACTTTTTTTTAAAAGATCCAGACGTTAAAATAACTCTGTTTTCCGTTCGAAGTGTTTTTTTCCTATTTAATTTAACGAATGAACTCGGTATGAAAACTTAACTTTTGAACCGAACTGCAGGTGAAATGCTGTGTTGGTGTCTCTGTCCCCCCCCCCCCCCCCCCCCCCCCCCCCCCCCCCCCCCCCCCACGTCTCTGCGAAAGATATATCCATATCCAGACAACCTGCATGGAAAAACTGACCACAGCTATCGCACCAAATTTTAAAAAATCTTTTAAACTAGACTGGTGAGCAGCACTCTACGAACAGTAGTTGTAAAATTTCTTTATTCTCCGACGAGTTTCGTCTAACTGTCGTAGACTTCTACGGGGAGTTTTACAATTTAACTCTAAACACCTGTATTTATAAGCCATAGTTAGCGGCTATACGCGGACCAATGACCATAAAGGCTTGGCCGGACCTACGAATAGGAACAGGTGAAGTTGCGAAAAATTTGAAAATTTTTTGGGGTAAGGTGGGAGAATTCATTTGGGGACCACAGTTTTGGTTTTCTTTTTTTTGTCACGCACGTCACGCAGCAAGTTACAAAACGTAAAACGTAAACATAATAATAAAAGATATATGTGCCATCAACACTTTTGAAAAATTGCTTAACATTTTATTTAGCGAAGTATACTGTTAACATTTCGGCCTTACAACACTATTGTTTTCTGCAACTACAACTGATATGTATCTATTTTAAAGTATATTTGTTTCCCCGCTGACCACTTGTATTTTTGTCTTTTCTTCTTTCCCAGCTCGTCGCCCGTGATGTAGTAACTCCCGTTTTGCTTAAGAAGCGGATATTGACGTATTTACCGATCTTGGTGCTACTATGCACGTGAACGACATGCTGTGGTGTTACAGGAAATATAACCGATTAAAAAAAACACTTCCGGTCCGCCTTGCGGCGTCATTGGTGCAGATTACAAAAAAAAAAAACAAAAAAAAAAAACTTTAAAATATTTCACCATTGCCTAAATGTTAATCGTGTTGTTTCAATATCGAAATTTCCGAATAAATTTGCAAGGCTAAAAATTTTTTAAAGGAGAATTACCAAAGATGTATGCGTTATGTAAATATGTTCCAAATGAGTGGCTTGATTTTTTTTTCATGAATCAATCAAGAAACGATTGTCTTTTTTTCATGTTATCGTTAACCGCGCACAACTAAAGATGAAACCATAAATTTGACCCGGGAGTGCTATGAATAAATGTTAATCAGAGGTCTCTTTTTCGCTTTAGCTTCAGTGATGGCGTGTGACGTACCCTGCAGTTGAAGGGTACTTTCTTTCTTTAACAAATCAGTCTTTGAACACCTAATGACTCACCAAAGAGTCCACTACCAGAAATGAAGAAATCCAAGCAAAGATTCAGAGTTTTTCATTTATTGAATCGTGTTTACAATCATCAAGCTGAGCGCGAGAGTATAAAGGCATTTCACGGGCGAATAAATTTAATAGCTGGAGGAACATGCTGGCATATATCTGTATTTCTCAAGATTAGAACGGAAACCTTCACGGAAATCTTTTTTAGTTGAAGGTAATCGGTTGATTTTATTAGTACAGCATTAGTGCGTTATCTCACTGGTACCGATCGAATGATCATTTACCGGCATTCTGTAAATTACGTAATTTCGGACAGGCGACTACTCCGTGAGCTTTCCTGTTTGTCGTCACTCCTGCCCGGTTCGTGAGTGATGAAGGAATACGTGACTATGGTCAGGAGTATGGCGTAACATACCGTTAAAAATTCAGTCAGGGTATTTTTCCTATCTTAAAATCAATTTTCATGTCGGAAATCAATTCTTGGTTTTCACCCACGTGACTTGTTTTGACGGCGGTTGCTATCTGCCATGTTGGTGCCCAAATCTCCTCGTTGACGCGGTTAGCGGCTGACAGTATTCTCGTTAAATGGAACTGCTGGCACCCCTTCTTTCCTATTCGATTCAGGGTGAGTTCAAGGGGAAAACATCCAATTTCAAACGCCCTCTTCATATCATCAGAATCTCAAAGGCGGACATTCAACAAACGCAAAGAATCAAATCCTGATCATACCAGAGAACTGAATAGGCAGGCATTTCCCAAAAGTGAAAGGAGTGAACCCTCAGCATGTGGGAGAAGTGAACAAAAATGTACAGAATAGAAAGAGATCCTTGATGTCAGGGTTGAACCCATGTGACCATGAACTGCTTCAGCCAGCTACTAAAAAGACCAAGTTGTATAGCAGTTAATGAAATATATGAATTTGATAGTCAAGATTCTACACAAGAGATGCGAACAATGACAAAAGTTATTCAAACTTTTCACGATAATATTAAGTGTGAGTCCTGAATATGTATGTACTTACTGTGATCAATTATGGTATCAGTCATCTGTCGAAAGTGTGAAGCAAACAAATGTCCTAAGCGATCCGGAACTTTGCTTGAAGCAGGTATAACTACTATTGCTAGTATAGATAATATGAAATGGATTTGATTTACTCGCTAATCAAATCTGACTCATGGAAAGCTACCAGTCTGATCTAAAGCGAACAAAGTGGGATTCCCTGTGAAACCACAATGTTTAAACCTGACACCTTTAAAAGAAAGATTAATTTCTCCTCGCATATTCCATTTATGCAGAATCGTGAACTCCTCAGAGGTGAAAAATTATGTATTCATGGCAAAGTTGTTAACGCACCAGCTGATGTTAATTCAACTGTTAACACTTACCAAGACAAACCAATGAATCACAAACTATCACTATTAAACTTAAACGAAAGTTGAATTACAAAGCATTATTATCACTTTCAGAATGTTAGACCAAGAAAAGTCTTAAAAGCAGCAAAATACCTTGTTAAGACAAGCGAAATGTTTCAAAATGAGTATAGAGAGGTTCAGGAAAATTGGCTTCGTAATCCTGATACTAGAGCTAACGATGCTCTTGCAAATCAGAATAGTAAATAAGAAGAATTCACACTCAAGCACTGGTAATGCTGAAATACATTCAACTGATCCTACATGTACCTAAAATCACTATTTCTGAAGCTACTCAAAGACATGATAATTACACTGATTGGTTGATAAAATAACGCAAAAACCTTCCCACCAACACTCTCTTACTCCTCTCCATTCCTCTCCCTAAGATTCCCGATGAAAATTTATGAATTATTGTTAACGGAGGGAACCTAAACTGATAGCCAGCCAGCCAGCCTTTCATTTGCAATTTTGTTGGGATTCAATTGCTATCCAATGGAATCTTATTCGAAAAGAACGAGAAGGAATGGAGGAATAACATCTTCACAACCCGCAGCATGTTAAAAATCTGCTATAATGTATACGCTTTTATGGTTTAAGGAGTGGCGCAGGTCAAACGATAGCTAAAATGTGAATTCTGACTATTCACCCAGCATCACCCCAGCAATTCAAAGTGATTCCAAGAAGTTTCAACTCTATCCGAGAGTTAACCATTGGCTGCCTACGTTTGCATGAAAAAGTGTACGTTTTTGTGATGGGGAATTTAATTATCTTTAAAACCCATTCAACATGTTCAAACATAATGTATCCCCGACTTATACACAGTTTCCTTTGATTTCTTTTAAAATGTTCTTCGATATCGTTTGGGGTGGCAAAGCATGGTGGACTTACCATAAACAAGAAAGTAAGACAAAAAATAGTTTACCTTGAATAGAGTTGCGTAAATTTGGTCTTCCTTTTAAATAACAGTCGTTCCAAATGAAAAAACGGAGAACTTCGCGCCTGTCGAATTGAAAAAAAAAGCACCACATTCATAGGTATCACAATCCCTTTTACATAAATTCGAGACATGATCCAAAACCAACACAGGGAGATGAACTTTTATCAAAGAAGAGCTCCTTAAGTGGAAACAAGCAAACAAAAAGATAAGAATGCACAAAATAAGCAAGTTTTGCATGATGAAACCACAACTTACCTTAGCCGTGTTCCCTTAGCAATTCATCATAACATTTGGTACACACGTACGAGCCCTCCCAGCTAATGTATTTTGTTATTGAACGAGTTTTTCGCAGTGTGCACATTTAATACGAAACATAACTTTGCGAAAGGTAAGCTAAACAGAGAACTCAGTATAGGGACAAAAGCCGTGTTCGGTGACCCTTTGCTCTTCCTCAAAGCCTAAAAAAAATCCCGCCAATTTGAACGCCCTTGCAGAACTTTTTCCTGCCATTTATGATTTTAAAAAGCCCTAAAAATTATATCCATTCTCATAGAGCGACAAGCATCTAATTTCATCCCTGAATCGCACATTAAGGCCACGGAAATATAGGAAATTATCACTCACTAAAGAAGCTCTTGATTGTTAAACAAATTCTCATTGTCAATACCATAGAAAATGTATAGAAAAAAGTACGGAGAATATGCGTACTGATGTTAAGGTGTAAAGGGTTAAGCAACCACTCAGACAAAAGTCTCCCTTGGTTCTTCACATGACCGTCTTCTCTCGAATCCAGCTTTCGCCTTGGAGGGCAAAAGAGAGAAACTCTGGGTACGAGGTTGTTTCCCTG